TGCCTCCCAGGTTCAAGCGATTCTCCTGTTTCAGCCTCCTGAGTAGCTGGGATTATAGGCGCCTGCCACCACACTGGCTAATTTTTGAATTTCTAGTAGAGACAGGCTTTTCCAATGTTGGCCAGGCCAGTCTCGAACTCCTGATCTCAGGTGATCCACATGCCTTAGTCGCCTAAAGTATTGGGCTTACAGGCGTGAGCTACCTTGCCTGGTTGGCTTGTATCCTTGGTGATCGCTTGGATATGGAGGGTGGAGGAGGAGGCGTGTCACAGAGATACTGCTCTTAGATTACCACCTGGGACATTAGGTGCAAGGCTCTATTATTGGTTCGAACCCTAAGAGTGCCAGCAAACAGCTCGAGGTGGTGTGGAGCAACATGCTGTTTTCATGAACGTCTGGGTGCAGACCGGCTGAGGCCTAAAATGGTGTCAGCCCCAAGTGAGGGTGAGGCTGGGGTTTTCTAGTATCCTGTAAATGGGACTTGTTCCAGTCTGACATAACTGCTCCGTGGTACCTAGACGGCCTCTCTCCTGATCTTCAGGGGTCCTTGTCTTCCGGCCTGCCCTTTTCAGGCTTCTGCTCGCTTGCTGACCCATGCTGCTGGTGCACGTGGTCTCTTGTACCTTGGGACCAAGTTTGAGGAGGGAGGAGTTATGCCCCCAAGTTTTCAGGCCCTGGGACAATCTTTCATTAGGGAGAGTAGGCTGGCTGATTCCTCTTTGTTAGGCACAACTCGGTTTTGCGGGTGCAGTGGGGTGCCTCAAGCTGAAAGCTTGACTCCTCGTAAGGGCCAGACCCCACATAGTTGTTCCTGTAACTGCCAGGCCACTTTGAGGCTGAGAGACAGTTTTATCTGGCTTCTGTCCTGCACAAGTTTATGGATGCCTTCTCTGTGTTGGCAGATCTGTGGGTCCACCAGATAGGATCCCGTGAAGAGATCTCAAAAGCCGTTAGTCCACTGTGTTTATCACATCACTTCCACAATCAAAAATGAATAAAATATAGAGGCGTATTTAGTGATAAGTTTGATGGTGCACCTGTGCTACGCAGTGTTTTAGTTCCTTAAGACACCAAGGAGTTGAGACAATCCTTTGCCTTAGCGTTTTGCATCTGTAAGTCCTGCTATCGAGAGCTGTGTGCGTTACAATGTCTGATTTATCAGGCGGGATCTGCGCTGTCTGTAAGCTTAGGTGAAGGGAGGCTGGTGTCCAGCAAGTATCCAGTACCCCCTCAACATCCCAGTTCTTCTCTACCAATCTTCCAATTCTAGGACTGATGTGGAATGGCTTGCAGTCATACAAACCAGAGCATGTATACCACAGGACAACATGAAGGTACCTCTACCACCCTTTCTCCCAGCGGCCTAAGTGGGCATCTACACAGAATAATGTGTGCAGCCTCACTGTGTGAAAGTCCAGTGCTTTGTGCTTGGAGTGTCATCAGGAAAGGGCCCCTGACTTGGAAGGTTGCCGAGCTGCCGCAGAGGGAAGGAGGGGGCGTGTGGTGCTGCTGGGTCTGCGTCTCGCTCTGTGGCAGGAGGCATGAGATAGCCTTGGTCTTATGAAGACCTTGGGTGTCCCAACTCACTTCAGCCCTGAGCAGCCTGATGCAGGCGCTGGGCCCTGGTTCTGGAGGTGAGAACATAGCCCGGGCTTCCACTGCATGGCTGGCACAGTGGGCATTCAGGTGCCTATTTGGGGACTGCTATGGGGTCCTGTGCCAGATGCAGTGGTGCACAGCTGGGAGCCAAGGGTCCCTGCTTCTGCTGGAGAATCTGGGCAGATGTAAAGGGTTAAGGTTAGTGGTAGGGTTAGGGGTTAAGTTTAGGGTTGGTGTTTGTGTTTGGGGGTTGGGGTCAATGGTCAAGGGTCAGGGCTAAAGAGTAGGATAAGGGACTGGGGTAGGGGTAGGGTTAGGGTCACAGGGTTAGGGTTTAGGGTTAGAGGCTAAGGGGGTGAGGGTGAGGGTAATAAGCAGATTACTAAAAGCAATTCTGCTTCACTTCAATAACAACCCTCTCCAACTCATTTTGTCTCCACAAACTTATTTTTCCAAGAAGAATACCAGGCTTCTTAAAGCACCCAGTGACTTTTCACACCTTAAATCTGTGAAACTCTGTCTTCTTCTGCCATATGCATAGTTCAAACATACCAGGCAAGGTAAAGCCAGACGCCTTCCTGAAGGGACCTGAGAAATTCTTCTCTTTCTCTCTCTGGAACGAAATGAATTCCTCTCTTTCTCTCTCTGGACCAAAATGAATTCCTCTCTTTCTCTCTCTGGACCAAAATGAATTCTCTGGACCATCAGTGCTAACCTTCAAAAGCCAAACCCGTTTGGGAGATCTCCTTTAAAACTACTGTAGGCCCAAGTGTTTATATTTATATATTAACTTAGTATTTATATTAATATAAGGGAATGTTTAAATCTGTCTACGCCACATGTGCCTCTGGCTTATTGCCCAGTTAATTGTCACCTCAGGCTAAACTTTGGTTTCTGTCTTTAATTTTTGTCGGAAAGAATATAATGGATCTCAAAACATCTGCTTTTATTGTAGGGACTCGTGCTGCCATTTCCATTCCTCCCTCTTTTCTTGTAGTCTGTGTGGAAGTTCTTTAATGCGAACATTTTGACCACCCTCATGCTCCCATATCCACTGTCAGCACATTCAGACTTACCCAGCCAAGGCTGTCATCTTAGGCCAGGGATTTTTTAGGGATCTTTATTTTGCTGTGATACGATTGGCACTCCTTTGACTCACGGTATCACCCCAGAGTTCTTTTCATTTTAGGAGCCCAAGAGGGCAGAAAAAGAAGTAGGTGAGCAATTAATCCTGAGTCGGGAGAAAGTCCCGTTGTGTTAAGCCATGTTGCAGAACATCGTATGTAGTAATCTGGCAGATGAGCCACATGGCTGCTGAGCACACATGCCCACTTGCTGCTGTGAGCTCAGACTCCCTCATCATTAGTCTTTTCTATCTCTGGAGGGAATTATAAGGGCCACTTATTAACCTGTAAGTCATAGAGAGTTAAAGGTGTTTCCCCAAAACACCGAGGACAGAATGAAAGGTGAGGAGCGTTAGCCACAGCTCAGAAGTGCAGGAAAATCCCTCGATGTGGGTTGTTGGAGAAATGCAGGTCTTTTTTCTTTTGGAAGTCTCCTTAGAATGAGGTCAAGGACTCTGCCCATTCTAGGATGAATAATTGGTATATTAAACACCCTCGGATATTTATCCCAAGCCTTCATTTAGGGTTCTTATTGAGTTTGTTCAGCCATCACAGTCTCAAATGCTAAGTAGGACATTGGAATCTCTCCACAGTCCAAATTAGCACTGTCTTTTAAAGTTGAGTTTCTCATTATTCTCACTTGACAAACCTTATGTATCCCACACGCATGCTAATAACACATCGTGCTCACTGTTACCTTTGCAACAAGACTTGAATTTTACTTAGCCTGGAGGAGTGCACTTCATATGTCCAGACCCAGTTCTGACTCATTCTTCAGCCCTGCATCAGTCAGTGAGGGCTAGGTTAAACCACGGTGACAAACAACCTACAAGTTTCAGTGGCTCAAAAATCTTCTTCCTCATTTATTTGCATCTAATCATGGGTCAGGTGAGTGGTCGCTCTGTGCCGTGTCATCCTAACACAGGAATCGAGGCTGAAGGAGGTACCATCAATAAAATCCCCATTGCTCTAGAAAAGACAAAAAGCATGCTGGATAGAACTCTTT